CCTCATCCATGGGTCATCTAACAGGCATATTTCATAATGCCAGACTATTCAAATATGTAAAATTATATCCACCACAAAGCAATATGTCTCATCATAATCATTTGTGAAGATCTATATTTTCACATAAACGTTCATATTTATAGAAACTTTATATTTCATGTGTTGGGATTATAGGCCCATTTTCACATATTGAAATGATATTTTCATCACATCTTTACCCTTTTCTTTTTCTTCTTGGCCAAATTTATATCTCTTTTGTATGATAGATCTATGTGTAAGATTTTCTTTTCATCACGTGATATTCTTATGAAAATCATTGTCGACAACTTTACATTTTCAGTTCTATTTTTTCTTTTGTGATATAACTTGTTGAGATTTCTTTCTTCCTTTTCAAGTACCTAAATCTCTTATGGAGTTTTACAATTAGTTATGTCTTGACACTCTTTTAGAGTACATGCTTCCTCAATACAACTTCTAAGTTGTATGCTCCTCTTTATTCAAGATATTTATATTGGAACCAATTAACCTTTCATGTTTCTGGCATGTCTTAATATTTAAAATAATTGGAGCATTTTCAGCCAGAATAAAAGATTTAAAAATTTTCATTCAAGTCAGTAAAATATTTTGTAGCATCTCATGATTACAATTTTAATGAACTTCTAGTCCATACTGATATATTTGATAATCTATATTTAATAGTAATAATGCATTCCATGCATTCTCTTTTCCAACTACCCAATTTCTCCCCCTCATGTTAAAAAAACTTTTTCGAATAACAGTTAACTAATTATGCAATATAAGTCTCCCAAATCCATTTTCTTCTTTTAGGAACATTATTTTGTTCCATTTAAAAACAAACAAGAAGAAGGAGGTTCTTACCCAACATATATCCCAACTTTCTTTTAATATCCATTTATGTGCATTATGATGGATTGTTAGGAATAAATATTGCACATTTCAATTTTTTTAAATAAAAAATATCTGGCTCCTAACCAAAAGCCAATTTTATTGGGAGAATTTTGTTGCTTTGATGTCTATAAGTGCTGCAATATATTAAGTCAAACATGCCAACACTAAAATGGAAAAATTTGTTCTCATAAATATTGATCAAGCTATTCACAAAGGCATTAACAAATGCTTTTGTTAGATCAATCTATTAAGCAGGCTTTTCAACATTAAAAGCCTGATATATAAATTCACTAGCATCTTTAAAGTCAAGTTTTGGGAATCACATAGTCCGAAAATATTTATCTAAATAATCTTGCAAACTTCAGGTTGCAAATTAATGTCAATTACACATCTTACCATTTTATATAGATGCATCTATCAAATATTGAATACTTGTATGGCTTATGTGCTTCTAAATGGGCTCATATATATTTCCAGAAATGTAGTGATCCATTCGAAAACAAAACAGAACTAATGATATTTTATAATCAATTTTCTTTAAGAACAAGCAGCACATATGAATTCTTAAAAATGTTAGCTATTCGGAAGAATCTTCCGGTTCTTTAATGGATATCAATACACAATTTTCAATAATTTGTTGCTTCATATAGTTTAAGATGATCAAACAAGTCATGCTAACAATAAATCTAATTATATCAGTAAACTTCTGATTTATTGTACCATGTTTCATTACCAACAATAAATTTTTCGGTATAATATATGATTGATGATATCCATTTATGAAATTGATATGAAAAATATATCCAATATCAACTCATACTTGTATTCCAACAGTTTTTCCTCTCGAGATTGAGTCATTCAAACATGATTCTTTTATTCATATATTCCATAAACAGCTGCTAGCATATAATAGGTTAAAATCACAAGATAATCTTTTATCAGAGAATCATTAAAATGTGAAGTGGCTTCTGGTCATCTAATCACAAAATCAAGAGTACAATGGCTGTTAGCCATTCATTTATATATTTCACATTTTACTTTCTAAGACAACAATTAACTAATATCAGAGATAATAATCCTATATAATAATATTATAGATGAACATAAACCTCATAGCAAATTAAGAAGTATAAGGATAGTAGGATCATAAAAATATAAGAAAAGTAAGAAATAAAAATAAAAATTTTCATATCTCAATACGATAAATAAAATATTCGGCTACTAATGAATCAATAAGATTAATATACAAAACCACCATTTCCTCTAAATAAATTGGAGAAATCTTACAAGACTGTTCGGATCAAACTATCTTTCATTCAACGAACAAAACCTCAACATATATCAACTAGGAGTCATGAACTCTGATGGTAGAGTTTCGTGCTGATAACGTGTTATGAAATGGATTCAAAATAAAACCAAAAAAGTAGAATAGAGAAAGATGAAGACAAGAGAATGAGCGAACTTTTATATTTCTTCACTTGCATCACAATACAATGGCATGCCTTATTTATAGGCATAGTCTTACACATAAGTTACATTTGTACTTAAATGATAGATAGTAGACAATAAACCACATGAATATGAGTGGGGGGAGTTACAAGATTAAAGGTATAGTGGAAAGGTAATGGAGTAGTGGAAGATTAATGCCTAGTGGAAGTATTTGGGAGTTGATGATGAAGTTGAGAGGAAGAGGAGGAGATGGATATCCACATGTTATAATATTCATAACAACTAGTCAATTCTTTTTGCTTACCTCTCATTCGAGCTGCTCTATGTTAGCTGCCCCTATGCTGTTCTTTCTTTCTTTTCTTTTTTTTCCCCCTTACCTTCAAAATGCATTTTTTTTGTTTTTTTTTATTATTGCATTTTACATCAAATGAGTGAGATGTTATAGGTAAAAGATGATACGGTTTTCAATTTTTATGATTTCTCAAAGAATTTATATCTAAATTAAAAAGAAACTACGCTAATTTTAGATTATTATTTTTTAAAAATTATAAAAAATTGAAAACTCTAATATTTCACCCATAAAATATCAAAATATCATTTATTTTATGCAGACTTTAATGATATTAAAAAAACATATTAACATTTGTAAGGTATGGAAAAATTGAGGGATAACGGCAGCTGACGCCCAAAACCACCAAATATCCCATAATTATTTAAAATATGTTAATTTAATTATGACCACTTTTCCATTATCCAACTACGATTCATCCATTGAACGAGCCCGTGACTCTGGAGTCGCTCAATATTCACAAAATATTGCTTTAGACTCGCTCAATATTCACAAAAAATTGCTTTAGATGAAAGTCAATAAAAAACGCATCCAAATGAAATTGATGGAGTGCAACTTTCTACCATCTGCACTGCTTAATGTTTTTAGCATAATTATTTTTAATTTAATTTAAGGTTATATATTTTAGAAGCGAATAAACATTCGACGTAAAAATGAAAAAAGAGCATGCAACCAGCTGGTTATGCCGTTTAATTTAGGGAAAATGATAGAAAAATGACTCCTCAATGTCAAAATCTACAAATGCTCATTTAAATAAGCAAAATCTCATTTTAGGTATAGGTAACAAAATTGGGATTTGCTAATTTGTTGAAATGACATATTATCCTTTATTATTATTTTTTCAAATGCCAAGTGGCTTGTTGCCAGAGTTCTGGTACCAGTGGCGATCGCCAGAAGTCAATTGAGCCGTTGCTAGAACATTAGCTATGAAGGTTGATGTTTTTAATATTAGCTCCATATGAAAGTTGTATATCAAAATTTTTTTATTTATTAAGTAATCACTATAGTTATTAGAGTTAAGAATATCGGGAGAAAAAAAAACTAACAACAATGAAGAGTAAACAACCTATTACAAGACAGCAAAGTGTATATCTCATCAGGCAAACTCCTTTATCTCTACACCTGGACGTGCGAGGTCAAATCCGAACTGAAAACTGAATTAAGAGAGGATGGTGATTATAAATTTAGATAAAGAATATGAAATATGGATGGAGAATACTGTGTTATTTTTTCATAAAAATAGATACTACTTCCTCTACATGTTAGTATTCCCTTTCATAACTATAGATGATTACTTTCTTTTTTTTTTTTCTTGGTGAAGAAATTGCTTTCTTTATTTTGACTATGATTATTTAAGATATTACTCCCTCCGTTCCTTATTATAAGAGACGAATAACCGATTTACGTTGATCAAAAAAACAGTTAAAATTAGTTAAGAACAATCAATGTGTAAAAAGTATAATTTTTTTTCCAAAACTGCCCTCATTAATAAGGAAAGAGAGCATGAGAGAGAATAATTAAATTATTAAAAGAAAGAGAAGTGGGAGGGAGAGAGAGTGTGAGTTGGAGACAATAAATATGGGTAAAATAGGAAATGAACACAAAAAATTAGAGACAACTTTTAAGTGTCTCTTATATATAGGAACATGCCATAAGCATCAAATGTCTCTTATAATAAAGAACGGAGGGAGTATTTTAGTTTGACTTTTCTAACCGCATTAATGGTTGATCCATTGAATGAGCCTATGACTGTCCGTTCAATTATCGATGCACTTTTTTCACCAAAAAATTGCTTTAAAGATAAAATTCAAACAACAAATGCAATTAATGGATCTGCACGATCCAACCAGACAGCTTCCTACCATCCTCCACGCTTAGCTGATGAATCAAACACTGAACAAATTTCTCAAAACCTTAGCTTCACCATTGTGATTATCACAGTCATGGCGCTTCGAGTAGCGACACCATCATCATCTCTTCCCTTCACCAGCAAAACCAAGTACAGGAACGCACCACTCCTTCACCGTGCCTCTCTATAATGCTTTGTGACAAAAGGGAATCAATGCCTTCATTGACGACCAGAAGCTTGGCAAAGGGGAAGAGATCTCACTTACGATTCTTAAAGCCATTGGGAGATCAAGAATTTTCATTTTGTGTACTAAGAGCCATGGTACTTCCACATGGTGCCCATATCATTTGCTGTAAGAAGCAGAAGAACTAGCTGGTTATGCCAATCTTTTACAAGGGGGATCCGTTGGATGTTCAGTATCAGAGAAATAGATTTAAGGGAGCCATGGCTGCTCTTGAAGACAGGTTCAGAGATGACTTAGAGAAAGTAAGAAAATGGAGGTCTGCTTTGTTTGAAGCTGCTAGCTTATCATCAGCATGGCTTTTTGAAAATGTTACGCATGTTAGCTGTATTATTTCCTAATTAATTACCTTCTGCAGATGAGATTTTCAATATTCTATTTGTAGATTCTAATTATACTAACTCGTTATTTTGCTCGTGCAAGTCAAAGGCCAACTCTTCAAACTCGGGGTCTTTAAGAATATTTTTTCCTAGGTACTTGGGATTTTTTGTTTGTTTTTTAGGAGTACTTATCCAATTGCTAGTTGCTAATTTATATGACTATCACCGTATCGGTTAATTGTGAAGACGAACAATTATCCTTCGACTTTTTTTTAAAAAAAAAAATGGCCAGAGTATCCTTCTAAGTCAAGTCATATGACAATATGTTTTCAGGAAAGCGTGTAGAAGGCATGCTTTGAAGGAGACGATCTATTGATATTAGAGGGTTGGACTATTTTGGACATTCAATTATATAACTACAGAATCAGTTAGCTTTTTAATTAACTAGACACATGTTCTTATATTTTGTATGGAATATGAAAAGTACATATTACTGTTTATCTTTGTAAATAGCGTGATCGGGCATATAAGTTTTATATTTGATACTTGAGAAAATTTTTCACTAATTTGATATATTTAAAAGTTTTTATTTTGTCCTATATTTTATTCTTTTGGATTTACGTCTTTGTTAGCCTTATTCGTTTGGACTTACTTAAACAGTATCGTTTGAGCAGCAAATATTTTATAATTTATAATTTCCCATTAAAAACATTATTCCAAAGTATAAGGACTAAAACATTTGAGAGCTTATTGGTGTTAAGGTTATGAATAAAAAATATGAAAAGATTTTATTATTGGGTAGCTTGATAAACAGGGGGGAGAAGGACAAAAGAAGACATTATACATAAATCAGCTTCATAGTAAAAAGAGAATTTTGACTTTTGTAGATGTGACTCTGGCTTTATTGAAAGAAATGTCGAAGATGCATTTGTTATGCTGCCTCCCAAACGCTTCCATAGCACTGATTACACGGTTGGACTTGAGCCTCACATAGAAAAAGTGATGTCCCTTGTAAATAAATATGATGATAGTGTTTGTATGTTGGGGATTTATGGAACTGGAGGGAAAGGCAAAAAAACTCTTGCAAAGGCTGTTTACAATTCAATCTTCTACCAATTTGAAGGTTCATGCTTTTTGTTTGATATTAGAGAAGAATCAAACAAATACAAGGGCATTGTTCTTCTTCAACAGTCACTTCTATCGGAAATTCTTGAGGAAAAGAAGATGACTTTTAGTAGTATTGATGACGGAATATCTAGAATAAAACACAGACTCTCTCACAAAAAAGTTCTGTTAGTTCTTGATGATGATGACATTGAACAATTAGAACAACTTGCAGGCAGGTGTGATTGGTTTGGTAATGGAAGCAACGTCATTATAACAACAAGAAATAAGCAATTGCTAATTGCTCCTTTTTTGGCATGCCTTTCATACGAGCCAACCTCCAAAAGGCTATCAAGATATGTCCAGTTATCTTGTAAGTCATGTACAAGGTCTTCCTTTAGCTTTAAGATTAATAGGCTCCAATTTGGCACATAAAAACTTAGAGGAATGGAGGAACATATTGAAACACTATGATCGGATCCCAGAAAAAACAATTCATGAGGTCCTAAAGATAAGCTATGATTGCTTGCAAGATGCTGCCAAACATATCTTTTTAGATATTGCTTGCTTCTTTAAGAAGGAGAAATTGGAATTTGTTGAAGAATATTAGAAGCTTGTGATTATGGAGCAAGATTTTATATTGAAGTTCTTGCGGAAAAGTCTCTAATAACTATTAGTGATAATGGTCGCCTGGACATGCATGATTTAATACAACAAATGGGAAAGCAAATTGTTAGAAAGGAGACAAAGTCAGATCTTGGTAAACGAAGTAGATTATGGTATTACAAAGATGTGCTCAAAGTATTGCCAGAAAATTTGGTAAGTATTAAAATCTTGAACATGTATTTCCAATTACACATGAAATTTATTATGTACAATTTAATTTTGCAATGTCTAACAACATTGCTTTTTTCGATCATTGTAGTGAAGCAATAGTATTAAAGGAATAATGCTAGATCCACCTCAGCAATAAGAAGTACAGTGAAATGGTTTAGCCTTTGAGAAGATGAATAACCTTAAAATTCTTGTTGTCCGAAATGTCCAATTTTCAACCAATCCCAAGTATTTACCCAATAGCTTAAGATTGCTTGACTGGGAAGGATATCATATCCTTCTATGAACCTACCGCCGAGTTTTTCTCCTGCAAAACTAGTTTGTTTCAAATTATATAAAAGTCTTTTTAGCTTGACGGAACCATTTAAGGTAACCTTGTGTTTAATGCTCATGGTATGTGTGTGTATATATATATATATATATATATATAAATAATTGGTTTGATTTCTATCGCCATAATCTTCAGTTTAAAAATAAATGAGAATAAATTACTTCAACTTTCTTTTTTTTCCCCCCCTCTCATTTATTGTTCTTAAATCTGCACAAATCTTTTTTCTTGTTTGTTTTGCAGAAGTTTGAACATGTGACACATATGGATTTCTCACATTGTGAATTTATAACTGAAGTACCTGATATGTCTCAGTTCCAAAGCCTAAGAAGATTTTTGTTTCAAGGGTGTCGCAATCTGCTCAAAGTTCATGATTCAGCGGGCCGGGATCTCTCTCCAGGTTGGTTCGATTAGATGTCAGTAAATGCACCAACCTTACCAGCTTTCCACGTGAAATCAACATGCCATCTCTTGAGGAGCCTAACCTCAGAGAATGCAGAAGTCTTGACAACTTCCCACATATAGTGGGAAAGATGGATTCACTAGCAGATATTTTTGCAAGCGAAACTGCCATTATAGAGCTACCGCCTTCCGTTGGAAACCTTTCAGGGCTCGAAACTATGTTTATAAGGTCCTGCAAAAGTCTTAGGGAGCTTCCAAACAGCTTATTGATGTTGCAAAATCTTAGCGCGCTTGATGTGGAAGGCATTAAACCTCATGGGAGAGAATCCTTGAAAAGATTAATGCACAAGAGCCAACCAGCTGCTATTAGCTACACAAACTTAGAGTACGTGGATCTTGAGAATTGTGGTCTATTGGATGAAGATCTTTACCTAATTCTGAATTGCTTTCAGAACGTACAAGAATTAAATCTGTCAAGGAATGATTTTGTGACTCTTCCTGAGTGCATTAAAGAGTGTGCTAATATGAGGAAACTAGATGTGACTAATTGCAAAAGGCTAAGAGACATACCAAAACTGCCATCTTAGTTGCAGGACATAAGGGCAGAGAATTGCACTTCATTAACTCCGGAGTCACCAGGCCAGCTATGGTCTCAGGTATTTCTCATGCTTTTTCGTTTGTTCATTGTTTCCAGTTGCAACCCCTCCCCCAAAACCTTACTTTTCAAAAAGAGATATATTTAAATTCAGTTTTCCATTCTTTAATCCACTTTTAACATTGTCCTTCTAAATATATCTGTATCCACAAATTAAAGTACAAGCTAATAGATTGCTCACTTAAACTTTCTCTACTTGTATAACACTTGTCTGTACAAGATAACATAGTCCATAAAATTAGGGTCTATTGGAAGGTGTATTTAAAAGCTATAGGTTAATGAATTTCGGGAAATCAAGTCATGCTGGAGCTGATTGTAAGTGCAGGTTAAAAATGTTTTAGCGTTATGTGAGTTATGTTAGGTTGAAATTAATTAAAAGATGATATAGAAGGATAGAAAGGTATAATGATAGGTAACCAAAACACTCTTGGTTTTGATACAAATCAATGGTTATATGAGTGGTATATGGATGGAATCTTACCCAAAAAGCTAGCAATAATTGAAGTGGAAAAACTAAAATATTACCTCCAGTCTTAAATATAAAAACTAGTTGACTAATTTGAGTAGATTAAGGAAAGAAGTTAAATTAGTTATTTGTAATAAATAGGTATTGAATTTTCTAAAATATCTTTACTAATCAAATGTATTGGTTAGAACTACCATTATTAGAAGGACTACTTTAAAAAAATGCATAAATATGAGAGACAAAATAGATTGGGATTTTATATTTAGGATCAAAATAAAAGTCAAACAAGGTCATATATTAAAGATCGGAGGTAGTACTTAAATGACTTATTGAATAGTAAAAAAAAAAAAAACCTTATTGAACAACTCATACTACTGAGGACTTAATATCTCATATTATCAAGTTTCCATCAGATAACATATATTATTGGAAGCATTTTAAATCGGAGACATAAGTTACTGATAACAAAACTCAAAGTGCTATCATCTGTCATCTGAAAATCAGGATTGTCGCATTCTTTTATGCGTTGTTTTCAAATCTGAAAATACCTTTGGTCTTTATTGATTTGATAAATCAGGCAAAAAGTTGTTTTTGCTTGGGAATTGTTGCACCATCAACAACATTTCCTGATTGGTTCGACCATTGCTGTAAAGGAAGAACATTATGTTTTCCTATTCATGGGAAAAATTTCCCCCGTATTGTCATTGTGATTGAGTCCAGAAAAGCAAACACAAGGAAGAGACACTTTTTTCAAGTTTTCATGAGAATCAATGGCTGCAAAAAGCCATGGATACAAAGTGATGCTCCAGGTGCAAGTGAAGAAATGGGTCGTGTGTTTGTTTTCTTTGGTAAACAAGGCCATGTGTTCTTATTTGATCTACTTGAAAATTTTAACGGCCAAGAGTTGGAGGGACTTGATAAGTTTCTGAAATTGGATTGGAATGATGTGGAAATACAAGTTACATGTCTTCCGCTTAATATTTTCGTAGTTAAGTGTGGAATCTATGTGGACAAGCAACAAACAAGCATGGAGAATATCGAATTCATCAAGTCTTCTTTGCTTTTAAGAACTTCACGAAAACGAAAGAAAATTGTTTCTCCTGCTAATGAACCACCTAAGAAGCTCTTGAGAAAGTTGAAGGCTACTGATAATGAAGGAAAACTCAATAACACAGAGAAAGGGACAAGGCGGTGAGCTTATTATGTTGTTCTTGTTATTAATTGTCGGGTCTAACGTGGTTTTTGCTTATTATTAATTTTGTGTTTTCTTTCATGTATCATTGCAGGAGAACTAAATGACACCAAAATTTTCATTCATGGTACAGGAGAAAGATATTTTTTTCCCATGGGTAAGCATCTTTGGAGATTCTTGTACAATTATTTGAACTATCAAATATTATACTTTTCTAGCCAGATGTTTGTTAAATAAAAATTATCCTTTACTATAAAAAAAATAAAAGTGTATTTTTTATGACATTATTGTTGATTTCAGATATGCGAAAAGAGTGCCACATGTCATGAAGAGTGCCATTAAGATCAAGTTATGCACAAGGCCTTCCTTCGGCTTTGAAAGCAAGGGGCTCCAACTCAAAAAAAAAAAAAAAAAAAACAGAGAGAGAGAAGGGCATGGAGGCATGGAAATGTTCATTGGATCACTAGCTGGTTTGACCAGATTAATATTGGTTTAATTGGATTACACCACAGTTTTGACTGATTTCCATCCAATTTGACCAGGTTGATACTAGTTTTATTGCTAATTAGTCCAACACCCTAAACAAACTAGACTACTAGCCGGTTTTCCAATTGAACCGGCTAGTTCAATCTGATTTTTTTTAATAATTACTATGCCATTAAGAGGCTTCGATCCACTTTTGAGTAGGGCACAAGTGGTCAGGTGGTCCTTTTCCTTTAGTTTTCTGCTTTATTGCTTTTTTTAATAATTAACAGTGGAAGGTTGATGCAATTAGTGCAAATCAAATGAAAATATAATAAAAAAAGGACGACTACATTAAATGGTGTGATACATAGCACTTAATTTACTAACACGCCTCACGATTTCTGGTTCAATGCATGTTAATTATTATTATGAACGTAAATACAAAGTGAGAGCTCATTTTGAAAAACTAGTCTTAAAATGCTTTTAATTTTTTGGTAAGATAAATATGAGGGAGAATTACATTCAAGTCCTACAGAAGAGAAATAATCACTAAAAAGTCCCAAATAACAACTTGAGCAGCCTGTAATAACAAGTCCTACAGTGAGAATGACAACTTCTGGGACTTGTTTTTCAATTACTTGGGACCTCACTGTAATTCTCCCTAAATATGATCTCTCTTAAATATTGAGAGTAAAAACTAAAAGAGAAGATTAATAGTTTAGTCCTTATAATTTTAATTCATTTGTAACTCATTTTCTATACTTTGCCTTGGTGTAATTCAATTCCTATAATTTTAACTCGATTGTAACTTAGTGTCTAGATTTTGACTCGATACAACTCAATTCCTATAGTTTTAACTTTTAACTATTTTATAATTTAATCCCTATTTTTATTAGATATACAATTTCATTTTAAAAAAAAAACACACAAGGACTAAGTTATGTGTGGCTCTATTCGTCAATTCCCGTCATCCGACCCAGCGTTTGAATATTTTAGCATTATTTTAAAACAAAACCGAAGTTCTAACTGGGGTGCAACATTTATATTTAATATGAAATGACAAGGATTAAATTAAACATTCTGTTTCATTTCTATGATTGGAAGAAAATAATTTAAAGACATAGAAATTGCAAAAACTAGACGAGGATAAACAATGATAAGGGTATAGTAGATTGTGATTTTATATTTAAAATCAAATTTAACCCACAAATAACACTTATATTAAAATTAAGGAGTGGGGGCTTGAGGTATTCGCTAAGAAAAAGGCTTGCGTACAAGGGAGAAGACATTGAAATTGCCAGAGCTAGAGGATAAATAAGGATCTGGCCGTAGTTGTTGGGGCCGAGTTAATTTTCCTTTTCTGTGAAATTTCCCTGATCCCTCCGTGAATTTCTGCACTTTTATTCTACCTTCTTTTTCTACTGAGGCTGAGGATTACTTTTCTTCTTATCTTGTCATTTTCTATCCGAATTCTGCATTATAATTGAGAACGGGTTTCCTTCTACAATATCATTTCATATTGACAGTGAACATTTGATAAAAACATGAATTTTTTTGGGTAAACTTCCTAATAGTTTGGTTTAATTTTAAAAAATTATTTGTGTTTATAATAAACTATTAATATTCTCATATTTCTCCAAAATTACTTGAAATAAATTAAAAGTTGACACTAAAAATTGGCTTATTTGACTTTCAAGGACGCATGACGAATTTGGGTGCTTTTGACGCTTATTCATCCGTGCTACCCAGGTTCTTCATTTCAGCTATGAACATTTCAAAAAAGATGCTCCCTCCACTGCTCCACGCACTTAGAAAAACAGAAATAAATAAATGAATGAAAAGGCAATAAGAAAACTCATTTACTTTTTTTAATATATGCATACATACACAACAGAGTCTTGACTCAAACAAAATCAAATAAGAAGTAAAACCTAATACTTTTTAGTGGGAATGGTTCTCAAGACTAGAAGAAGAAATGAAGAAGAAAATGATGATGCACAATATCTTTAAATGTAGCAATTTTCTTTAGGTTTAATTTGCTCTCATCTATTCCTATCTTATAGAATACAAATTGGGTTAATTGGCGAATTTTTTTAAAGATATAAAGACTTTTAAACATGAATTGCACTGTCAAAATTCAAGTCAAGACAACAATAACTTTTACAAAGTGATAGTTTGTTTTTATCTTTGCATGCACTCAATTATAGAGACAATGAGTTTGAATTGTTATGTGT